ATTTTATTTTAAATTTATTTTTATGTAAATAATTTTAATTAGCCAATGAATTAAATTTAACTTAATTTTTTTACTTTTTATATACATTAATTATAAAAAGTGCATTTATTACATCTTTAGAGCAAAAGATAAAAAATTTTAATTTTAAAATATGTGAAAATTAATTTAAAAGTATTTGAGTTTAAATATTAAAAAATATATAATTTAATTAAAATACATAAATTTTTTATATTTAAGAGCTATGAGTTGTTATATATATTTATTTAATATTTATAAGATTTTTTGTTTTATAATTTAAATTATTTTAAATTTTAAAATAAGAACTATTTAATAGAAAAAAAAACCTTCAATATCAAGGAGTCTTCGCCCATCAAATAATTAGTGTTTTACTATTTAAAATTGTTTGGATTGTAAAATACTTCTAATATTTATATAGCAAAAATTTTAAAATTTTAAAATGAGTGAAAAGGGTTATATATATATATATATCCCCTTTAGATTTTTGGTAACTTGAGGAATAATGTGTAAGAAATATGCTTACACAAAAAATCAAGGATTAAATCTTGTAATAACTATAAACAAATTTACTGATAGGAAAGAACATTAGGATGTCCCAATTTGACATTTTTTTAGCTTGTTTAATGGCAGGGTCAAGAAAAAGAAACGTTAGCAACAGAAAGAGGATGGAAAATAGATATGGTTTTAAAAAATAAAAAAGGAAAAAAAGAGAGAGAGAGAGAGAGAGGAGCCGTGTTTTGTTTGGTGGGGAAATGGGCCCAGGTTTTAAGGGTCAACTGAGGCTTTGCTGCTTGTCCAATAGACATTCATCTTGACTGCCATTGCAATATTCAAAACTAGTCTCAAATCAAACTTTTAGGTATGATTGATAGCAACATAATAAGGGTCTGGCCCATGAACCCCATTTCCATCAATTTCATGACAAGGATAGCTCATATCCAATTCGTTACCTTATGTTCAAAAACCATTTGAGTACCCCTTGGTTTCCTCCGTATCTCACTCGTTATATTGGAACTCTTACCGCATTTATATATTTCTTACTGAGACATCAGCTAAGAAGCGTTCTAGAAACCTCGTGTCTAGACTTAAGATTAGTTACCTAAAGACTTGGAGATTGCCATTTGGTTTAGAGGAACAGCTATTGGAGACCTTCTGTGATATGTATCAATTTGACCTCTAGAAGCCTATGGTTCAGATACCAACAAGCGGTGCAGGTAGATGGCAGATGGTAAGTACCGGTGATGACTACCCTTTTCTCACAGGAAAAAAAGTACCCAGGAAAACCAGAAGATTTTGACTTCAGGATCTCTCACCGACATGGTTGGGACTTGAGAAACCCATGTGAAA